CGCCTAGCAACGCGAGCCAAACAAATCTCAGGTATGCTGCCTGCTAGGCGACGCACGACGGATGCGTTTTTTGGTCATATCTCGTAAACCGTTAAAGCTAGATGGGTAGTGTAAGCGAGCCGATTGTAGTTTAAGCAGAGATCTACAATCGGCTCGCTTACTGTACACGTCTATCTTGAACGGTTTAGGAAATATAGCCGAAAAACCCACCCGCCGCGCGCCGTCCGGTGTGCAGCATACCTGCGATTTGTTTGGCTCGCGTTGCTAGGCAACGGCGGTCCAGGGAGGGGGACCGTGGGAACGGCAAAGAGGTCTATACGGCAAACAAAAAATCTCATTCAACGAACGTTAATGAAAGCAGATTGATACTCGTTTGGTTTTCTTCTGGGCTCATTAGTATGGGCTCATTCCAAAGATAGTTCTTAAAATCTCATTCAACGAACGAGGCCGAGCTGGCGCCGAAGCCGGCACGAGCTGAGCAGAGCCGAGGTCTGCCCGAGTCACCCACCCTTTGAGACGTGGCAGGCGGAGAGGGATTGTCAATGTTGCGCGCGGGCCGTCGCGCGCGAGGAGGGGGTAGGGGGTGCCATTGTCCGCGCAGGCTGCGCCTCACCGCCAGCCAGCCAGCCAGACACACCAGCCCGCCCCGGCGGCCAGCCCCTATTATATTGTTAGGATACGCGCTTGGTTTCTGGACTCGAGAGTAAAAGCACGCTGACACCTTCATGTGTACAGTATTTTTAAGTATGTTTCAAGTGTGGTGAAGGTATCATCTGCTAAAAAAGAAAAATCCGAGCTGGGAATCGAACTCTGGCCCCGACGGCGTGGTCCTTACCCGCGCGGTGAGTCATCGCCTCGAGGAGACTGGCACACGGCTAATGCAGACACGTTTCCATACGCAGTCAATTAGCGGACCAGAGTGTTAACGCCCGGCCAGCTCGACCAGTACCAGACTAGCCGGCGTGTGGCGGGGCGGGGCGTAGCGAACGTAGCGTCTCCAAGGTTCGACCCTGTTACGCTATGGCTACGCGGCTACGCGGCTACGCGGCTACGCTCTACGATGGATAAGGAGAAGAAGGGGGAGGAGGAGGAGCAGCCGAGTCATGCAACGAGAACAAATTGCAAAACGGACGGGCCGCCTCCGCGCGCGCGGGCGCTGCACCACCGCCGCCCCGCCAGCTGTGGACCCGGGTTCAAATCCCGCAATCGGCCGATTTGTTTTCGGCCGCCCTCGCGATGTTCGCTGTTTCGCGCAGCGAGTCCCAGACCCGCGCGAGCCGAGCGTGGCCGAGCCTGGCCACGGGCCCAGCACCCAGCATGCATCACGATGGTATTTCGCGGTGCAGCGGTCCTCCGCACAGCACCCGCATGCCACGTCACGCCAACACACTGGAAATGGCGGCAACTTGTGGGCACACTGTGGGCATACTCCGGGCACGCTTCGAGCGCTGCGTTCCTCGAATCCAACTCGCCACAAACATCAGGGTTTTGAGAGTGACTTTCCTGCGAATAAGTAATATGATGGTTCAGTCCCTTTTTGACTCGGATTGTCTAAGCGCTCTGGACCCCAGACAGTGTTCAAAGTCCGCCGCTCAGACTGTGTACTATTCTGGCCCACTCTGAGCTTTATCGAACGAAAACGTGGACAAGGGTCGCTTTTGCAGGACGCAGAACCCACAGGGCACCGGCCCCGCGGCCCAGCCCCGACAATTATCCAGGAGATGGCCCCGGGAGGACAATCGGTGGCCGCGGACTTGGCGAACGAAGCCCCCCTTGATGCAAATCTAATCGTTTGCGATTTCGTTCGGCGGTGGCCAAGGCGGTGGCCAAGGCGGTTGCCACAGCCTTTTGTCGCCGCGGACGTCGATTCGTGTTGACGGCGCGCGTGGGAATGGCGTCGCGGAGCGTCGTGGAGCCGCGCCGCGCCAGCAGAAGAAGGGCGGCCGCGTGGCCCGCGAGGCCCGCGAGGCCCGCGAGGCCCGCAAGGTCGGCGTGGGGCAGGGCACCACCTCGGGCACCACTTAAGGAGTTAAGTGACGACGCGGTGCTTTACTGCAGTTTGGAGCCGACGATGGCGATGGCGGCGCATCGACGCGCTGCTGCTGCTGCTGCTGCTGCTGCTGCTCAGTGTGCCAGGGTAGCAGCAGAAGCACGGGGCCAAACTCGCGACGCGCTTTGGTCTCTATGTCCCTGATCAATGAAACCAAACCTAACCTGACGTAATGAATCCATCCCCACCGTCATGCCTTTGATTCGAGCGTCGTTATGACTAAAGGGCTCGAAACTACTGGCGTCCGCCCTAACTGGTCCTGGCCCACGGTGATGGCGTTGTTGGCGAGGGAGTGCGTCAGGCCCGGCCAGGCCCGGCCAGGCCCGGCGCGCTGCTTTGGGTGAGCGGCGCGTCGCGAGTGCGGAGGTGGGGGCAGAGGCCACTGAGGCCAGGCAGAGGCCAGGGGCAGCGAGGAGGCTGAGGCTGCCTCAACCCTATGCCATCCTAGGGAGCCGCACTCGGGACTCAGGCCACAGGTCACCGATCCATCATATCCTGGTCGGGGGCAAACAGATTTACAGGCACAATTACCCCCGCAATTAAATAGGTTTTGAAACATGAGTGGCTGCGCGATTTCATTTCGCTTCTCAACTTTATCTGTCGTGCATCGGCGCAAGCTGTGGGACTGGGTGCGCGAGGCGCAGTGGGGTGCCATCGTCTACAAGCCGCTAGATCCACAGCCAGGCGGACCCCCGTAGCCATCCTTCCTCGGGTCATCAGCTACGCCAAAACTCTTTTTATTTCTTTCAGGGACAATGTGCTGCAGCCCGTAAGACCACGTTGCGACACGACCTGCTCGACATTTTGGAGGACAATGAGGCCTGGATGGAGGCGCGGCGGCCGGAGCACGCGGAGGTCCCCCGACACGTTGCCGCCAACGTGCAGCGCGGCGCAGCGGCCCAGCGCGTGGCGGTGAAAGGCAAGCGGCGGCTTTTGCCAGAGGCCTCCGGAAGAAACAGCGCCAATGCGACGCCAACTCGGTGCGGCCGCTCCTCGGGCGATTCGTGTCCGCTCCTCTCCTTCAAGGTTCAATGTCAACAGTGCCCCAGTTCTCGAGGTTCTCGAAGAATGAAGGCACCCCCGCACGCGATGTAAGGCGTCCCGAGGCGCCGCGTCCCGGCCCGGCGACCCAAGCAGCGGGGACCTCTGGACCCCGGCCCTCGCTTGACAGCCGCGGCAGATTGACCCATCCACGACGGTGAGGTCCACGCGCCCCCCGCGGGGCCCATGACAGCCAGGCCCAGCCAGGAGGGGTCAAATGGAGCCATTCTCCAGCGGTCAAAGCACAGAGCGGCACAGCGGGCCTGAACAGAAGACAAGCTTGGGCGGACACGTTATGAGCTCAGCTCCACAGTCCGTAAATATGACTCGCATGAAGCACATGAGCGCACTGACAGACTCCTCGTTTGAAGGGCAGTCGTCTCGCGGGCGCCAAACTCCGAGCGTGCCTTGGTGGGCGAGATGAGCCAGATGAGTAAGTGGCGGTGTCGCGGGCGTGGCCGGCGTCGCGCACTTGGCCGCGTGTTTTTGGCATACATTAGGCGGAGTCAAACAGCGAGCTAAGTCGGTCATGTGTGCATTGTTTGGCTGCTTTGGCGCACCGTGAGGTCAGAGAGTGTGTACGGTAGGCGCGCGGCGCGGCCTCCGACCGACCCCGCCCACGCCATCCTTCACAGGGCGTGCTGGCCTGGCGTGCTTGCCTCACGCGCATGATTTTACTGCTCGAATGTACGGCTACTCAGCGTGACTGTTAATTCGCATCATCTCATCAAGTGTGCGCGGCCATCTCTCTCTCCCTCTGTCAAAAGATGACGTATATGTCGAGCCGGCCAGTGATACCCATCAGCATCGGGGAGAGGCTCGCGAGGAAGGGCGGGACCACCTTGGGCGGGACGGCGCATCGCGGCGCACCACGACGGCGTGGGGGACGCAACCTCCGCCTCGACGCGCCACGCGGAGGGCGAGGACGACCACGAGAGTGATGCCTATTGACGTGACTGTACCCGAAGCGGCTCGCGCGGTGGCGGGGCTCGAAATGTGACAAAGTGACGTGTGAGTGACGGCAATAAGAGGAGGTGGACCCCCATGGCTAGTTTTGCATCACCCCTGTACGGTGTGCACACGCCGCAGGAAAAAAGAACGAAAAAAATGATTGCGCTGGGAGCGGGATTCGATCCGAGAGCCCGCGGAATTAGTGACAAAAAAACCGTCTGAATGGGAGCAGTTCCGTGGCGAAGGCGAAGGCGGGTGGAGCAATCGTGTTTCATCAAGGATTCTGGAGTTCGAGTCCCATCTGCTTTAACTCCGCTTGTTCTCTTGTTTATTTTTCAATCCATTATTTGCTTTTTCTTCTGACTTTGATCCCAGTGGGATGCAGCAGAAACAAAACGATGGCCCTGGCCCGCGGGCGTATCGGTGAACCGCAAGACACGACGGCAGCCGACGCGTCGCGCCCCCGGCACGCCGAGCACGCGGAGCACGCCGGGCACGCTGCGGCGTCGACTCGTTTCGGTAATCTCGCCTGTATTGCGAATACTCACACCGCAGATCGGCAGATGGGTCGCCAGATATTGTCCACACCGCAGAGCCGGCAGCCAGCCCTCCCGCAACCGATCGGCCCAAACGAGCCACGAAGTTGAACCGCGCAAAGAGATGGCGCAGAGATGGCATGTTCGGCGTCCCTCGTGCGTTCAAGTCTCCAGCGAACCCAGCAGACGATGTGCTCCGTGGGGATGCTGCCCGGCGTCCACGCCGTCCACGCCGTCCAGGGCGGCGGGGGCCTTGTTGTGGCCCCGCGTCGTCCCGGCGCCCCCTCCAGCGCCTCTGCCCAGTCGCTTCTGGAGCAGGTGCTGGAGGGGCTCCGTGCCGTGCTGAGCTGCGCGGGCTGCGCGGGCTGCGCCCTGGCCGCGCCGAGCGCACCGGCTTGTGGCAGTCTCGCCGGAGCCGCCGAACCGCGTGTAGCGAGCCGCCATGGGTGTTGGTGTAGGTGCAGGTTCAGCCGCGGCTACCGGCCGCCGCCCTAGCCGCCCCAGCCGTCGCGCAGGTGCAAGTGCAGGTGCAAGACACAGTGCCACGCTCCTCTCCGCCCTCACCGTCGCCGTGCTCGCCGCGTGCTGGACAAGTAAGGACACGACGTGCTTTAGGCCGCCTGCCTGCCCGCCCGCTTGCCTGCCCCAGCTGACTGCAGGTTTTTGGGGGCGATGAAATCACTTGCTTCAGCGGACAATCTCTGCAGCCCCCACAGGGTGCCCGCTGGGCCGGGCCCTTCTGGTGAGGTGACCTTTGCAGTGTGGAAGTTGTGAGGCAAGGAAAGAAGTGCCCGGCGTTGGGCGTACGCAACGCCGACGGGCAAAGCATCGCAAAGCATCGCAAAGCATGGCAAAGCCAGCATCACAATGGGAGCAGGGTCAAGACTTTGTTGCGAATTGTGGATCCGCGGTGCCGGGCCGACCGGGACGGACCGCGACGGACCGTGTTGCCATGGCAACGAAACGACTTGTTTGCAGCCGGCACGGGTGAATCGGCGCGCTGCGCTCCTGCAGCAGCACAATGAGACGGTCTGTCCTGCTCAAGCCAAACAGCGGCAGGCCCTTCTTGGGGCTGGTCCCCGCTCGGCGCGCCGCCCGCGTCGTGTGGAGCCGACCCGGGCCGGGCCTCGCGGCCCGTGCGGCGCGCGGAGAGAGACTTTCACCCCACAACGCGGACGGCCTTGGGGGCCTGGGGATGGTGTGGCTGAGCACGCCGTGCATGCAGTGCCTCTTGTCGACGAGCAGCCGACGCGGCCCGCCGCAGAACAGTGCGGTCAGTGTGCCGCCGCGCCTGCCCGCCGTCATAGTGCGTTTCCCAGCACCCTGCCCCGCCAGAGAGAGAGCGCTGCTGGAGCCCAGCTCGCACTCCAGGAAGTGGGCGTGTTCCAGCCACCTGTTCCTGTTTGATCGTGCGCTGGACGGCCTGCTGGAGGAGCTTAACGACGTGGTGCCGCGGCACCGCGCGCCACGATGGACCTCGCCGCGGAGTGAAGTGCGCCAATGCGCCTTGCCTTTCCAGTGGCGCGGTCCGCGTCCTGCAGGCTGCCGGGCTCGATGCCTCAATTATGGCGCGCACCTCATTAGGGCGAAAGATGAGAGCGGACAGACAGACAGACAGACGGCAATCGTGTGCTCGCGTTACTCGGGGAAAGGGAAAAGGCACATCTCGATTCTCGATTCGATGCTTATCGACCGTTATCGACCATTAGGCCGCTTTTGATCGGCGGCGGCGCTTCGATGCGCGTTCTGCATCGCGCACGCTGCCGGAAAAAAAATCCGAACATGCAAATAGGTACAAAATTAACGCTGTTAGCTTTTTTTTCGCTCGTTTGAACCATACCGCGAGCTCACTGCCTATGAGATACGAACTAACGCCGCTCGTGCTCAGGCGTGTGTGAGTGTGTGTGTGTGTGGGGGGGGGGGGCTGCCGCTTCATGGGCGCTTCACGCCAACCCGAGCGAGAACAGCCATCAGGCCATGAACGAAAGTCCACGAATTATGAGTAAGAGTGCTGGGTCTGCCAGAGCAGGCCGAGCAGTGCGGAGCAGTGCGTGCCTAGCTAGCATCGCCCCTTCGGACTGTGCGCTACACTGCGTCCAGAAAGAAAGAAAAAGAAGGAACATTCTTCCGAGAAAGTATTTGTAATATTCGTGTCAGTGTGTGGGGAGCGCGATCGGGGAACAGGTTCAGTTTGGTGTGTGAGGGAGACACTGGAAAAACTGTCACAGACATGCATTAGGTCGGTCTTAAAAGGCCGATTGCTTTCTGTAGCAGATTAGGAAAACTGGGCGGGAACGTGATGAGCAGTCTAGAAAGCGAAAAGTTTCGGGGGACCAAGTTGGCGTTTGTTTTGTCGAGAGGCTCGTGACAACAGGTGCCGTGGCATCAGGCCGTAAATACAAAACAAAAACGAGGCAAATACACAAGCCGGAATAACAGGTCGACGAGACGGCGGCGGAGTGCGACGCGGAAAAAGGCAGAATACCCGTTCTGGAGCGAAACGGTTTGGAGCAAATCGTGTCCGAATTGGTGCGCCGCCTGCCGACCCGGTGCGGCTGCTGCGGCTGCTGCAGCGGCTGCGACTAACGTCCCCAGCGCCTGTTGGCAGCGCTGGCAGAACGGATAGAAGGCGGTGGGCGGCGCTGTGCCTCGCGTCCACTTCGTCCACTTCTACTACTTCCGTCCACTTCCGACCGGCCCGCCATTTCCATGCTCGCTACGCCTTGCCAGTGTGCTTGCCAGTAGTGCTTGCTTGCCAGCGGCTGCGATGACATAACCTCACTTGTCCACCGACTCGCCATGGCTCTGCCTGGCTTTGCCACCAGCCGCTTTCCGCGTTTGGCACGCGGGGACAATGTTTGGCCTGGCGGGGAAGGGAGACACCGAGTACAGTCCCTGTCAAAAGCAGTAAGTTGATGAGAATCAAAATTCTCCCGATGTTGTTGTTGTTGCCGCTGCTGTCCCATTTGACGGGTCCTTCCTGGACCGGGCTGCTGTCGCGGCGGGCTGAAGGCACACATGCGGCGGTCGGGGAAAGGTCATTGACGAAAAGAAGGCGACGGGGCCGGATAATTAAAACTAGATTTACGGTTCATCTGCCAGCAATAACCAGTTAATTTCTATAAGTCGTCGGCCTTGCGGGGAGACGGGGGCGGAGCGGAGCGGCCCAGTCCGGCCGGCTCAACTTGACGGTGATCCCCCCGCAGCCTGGCAGCAGCCTAGCCGGGCCCCCACTGGAACAAGTGCTGGCCAATAAAACGCTACAATCATCGGCGCCACGCCGCGCCACGCCGAGCCATCCCCGGCGTTTTCGACACAACTGGACTCATCGTGTTGCAAAATGATTTTGCCCCTTCCCCGGCGACGTCGCGCGCGCATCGTCGGCCCGTGTTTACTTGCCTAAACTTTCCACACTTTTTCCCCCGTTTGCGGGCAGTGTAGGGTGGCGGTTATGGCCGCGCCGCGCCGCCTCGAACCGCTAATGCCCGGCCATTTGTACGCAGGTCGCGGGGAGAGTCATCGCCAAGCGCAAATCCGAGACTTGGACGGCGGGGGGCTCTTGTTTCCAAACGCGCCGTCCGCTCGCGACCCACGGTGGCTGCGGCATTTGCCCGGCATTTGCGCGGCAAGCCAGCAGGAAGTGCCGCGTCGCGGTGGCGTCTGGTGGCGTCGCGCTGCATCCGCGCCATGACGACCCCCCGCCGCCGCGGTTAGCGCACTCCGCTCGCTGAATGACCACCAACAAGCGCGCCCCCCCCCCCCCCCCCCCCGGTCGTGGTCAGCGGGCAATGCTAGGGCTCCCAATTCTCGGCCTCCTGGAAGCGCTGGAAGTGGAGCACTGCTGACGAGGGCGGCTGCACGCGCGGATACGTTCTGGTGCGCCTGCACGCTGGATCCGAACGGGATGGGAGGTCTCTCTCACTCTACGAGGCGTCGCGTCTGGGTGCGAGGGAGACAGACAGACCGGACACTCCGGCCGGCACTGACCAGGACGCGCGCCCCGGCCAGCCCAAGCAGCAACCGGTTTGCCGCCCGAAATAGCCCTTGTCGGCGCACAACACGCGTCCGAGCGCACAGCGCGCGCCTAGTTGTCGAGGGCCTCGTCGACGTGGTCCGGGAGGTGCGTCTTGCGGCACCTGCCGCTCGCGCTGGAGGCGCTGGAGGCGATGGCGATCAATGGCGGGTGGCGCGTGTCGTGCTGCGCGGCTCCGCAAAGGTCGTCGGGCTGAAGGATGGCGCCCCGGCAAATCCCTCTCACTGTGCGGTCGCCGTCGTGCCGGGGCAGCCGGGGCTGGAAACGGTCGAATAAAAAACGAGGCGCGGCGCGCGGCCAGTGCACTTTAATTACAAGCCACCGTGCGCGGGTTGGGCCCCGTCGGGGGCTGCAGCGCTGCAGCCACGACGCCGAGATGCATGCTGCAGGCCGCGGTGCAGGGACACGAGAAGGGGGTCGCAGCGGGTCGGCGCGCAGGTCGCAGCGGGTCGGCTCCGTCGGCACGGACGGGTCGTGCGGTGCGGTAGGTCGGCCTGAGCGGTTTTAGCATTTCGCCGCGCGCAGTCGCGCCTCCGCGTTGACCTCCACCCTCCCGGATCGCATTCACGGTTTGAATATGCAAGTCCCTTCGGGTCTCCGAGACCCTCTTCGGGGCGCCGCTGAAAAAGGCGGCGGCGCGGGGGAGCCTTGGCGGTGCCATGGCGGTGCTCGCAGCAGCAGTTCACCTCGACGCCGCTGGCTCCGGCTTTGTTCAGTGCTCACTTCATTTATGGAAATCCGTTCGCGGGAGTGTGTGACATTTGGCGCGAGCGTGATGGCGTCGCGGGTCGCCAAAGTGCGCGGCGACACTGCCAAAAGACGCTTGTTTTTAATTGGCGTGGCGCCGTGAAGCGCACGCGCCGCCCCTGGAGCCATCCTGGAGCCATCCTGGAGTAACGGCAGTTGGAAGCGGGCCGCTGCGTTTATGCAGACCGCCAGCCAGGCCGGGGCGGCGCGGGGCGGCGCGGGGCGCGTTCGGACTTTCTCCCTTTTCGGAGGCAGCCTCGCACCGATAAAACTGGACCAACTGGGCTGGCCGGGCTGGCCGGGCTGGCCCTCGAGAGTGCGTTCGCGAATAGCGGGCCGCGGCGTGGCGCCACGGGGAGGCCTCGCCGCGCCGCCGAGACATGCCGGATTTCGAGCAGGGCAGGGCACGGCCCGTCGGCGAGCAGGATGTAGTCCACCAGGCCCCAGCGGCCTCGGCGTCGTCGCGCTGCTTCGTTTCATCCTATTTGTTTTCCTCGCGAAGGGCCTCCTCGACCGCAGGCAGGCCAGGCATCACCTCGCCCTCCAGCCGGCCGACGGCGCGGGCACGGCGGGCACGTCCTGCCCCGAAATTCGGCTGCTGCAGCCCGCCAAGCCGCGCCGCTCCAGGAGAATGTGGCTGGAGAAAGGTCTCGCGGCGAGGCACGGGTGCCCGCGCGTCCCCGCTGCAGGCCTGCAGGCTGCATGCTCGCTGCGGGCGGACCACTACCGCCACCGCGAGCCGGCATCGGGCCCAGCATCGGGCCCAGCATCGGGCATGCACAGGGAAAGGGACAACACGCGCTTGACGCGACG